GAGCGGAGGACCCCTCATTCACACTGCGCCCATTGCTTCTCTTCCCTCCGTCGTTACCGACCCGTCATGTCAACTCTCTCAGATCTCGTGCTTTTCGACCTACGTCGCATTCGTACGCCTCTCATGCACGACTCGCTTTTCCCCTCCTTGGACCCCGTGCCCCTGCGTGATGAGGTCGTGTACTCTTACAGGTCTGAAAGGTGTGCGGGTCGCGGTATGCGAAGAGGCGAGCAACTCGGACACTCTGAACTCGAACTCGAACTCGAACTCGAACACTCAAGAAGCTGGTGGGGACGGAGGTCATCACGAGCAGAGAACTGTACAAGGCATTCGTCACATTCGAGACGACCCAGCTGGTGAGATGACCTGACTAGATTGGAATTGGTGACGTGCCACGCGTCACCGTCTGATTGGTGGGACAGACGAAATGACTGGGACGACCTTCGGGATGCCGGCCAGATTCTGGAAAGGATCCCATACCACCCAAGGCGGCATGACTTTTACCGTTCCAGGATTCGAATGTGCTGTCCACGCTGACCACCCTGTCCCCCACTCTGATCGAAAATCGGTACCAGGCCGTGCCAGTCGTCTCGGAAACACCCTCGCCTACCCCTGCAGCACATACTCTGCACGAACGAACTTCCCGCACCCGAGAGCAGCTGGACGATCGCCCTGCAGCGACGGATCACGATGGCCTACTTCATGAAGAGGTACTTCGCCTCAATCGAGGATGGCTACGACCCAGACAACCCACTGCACGGCAGGGCTGATCCCACGCTGATGACGAAGTTGTCCGACTTCGTCAACCAAGCGGCGTGCTTGGTCTTCCTGGTTCAAGGGGCTGTCAGCTACTTCCGAGACGGTCAAAAGCTGCTGGAGATGCCATCCAGGAGCCGCGATATCATGAACAGCTACCAACTCTCGACGGACCCATTCTTAGCCTTCCTTGACAACAGCTGTGTTGTCGGAGACTACTTCGTGGGATCCAGGGAGCTCCTGGACGAGTACAACAACGGAAACAGGAAGGTCGATGGCAAAGAGGTTGGACGCCTCGTCAAAATTGATGCTAGCCAGCTGAAGCGTATGATGCAACTAAGGGGTTTTGAGGAGCCTAACAAGGCGCGGACCCTCGGATTCTCGGAGTTTGGCGCGACCAGAGGTTACAAAGGTCTCAGGCTCAAGACCGATGTCGAGTTAGAGAACGATGCAGAATAGTTAGAGATGCATTGTGGGCATTTGGTGTGATTATGTACATTAGTCGTTCAATTGTGTAGAGTATCGAGATCGACATACAAGGTTTAAGATCGTACTTTTAGCTGAGCGGTTGTAGGAGCTAGCTGAGTACTTGGGCAAAGCGGCACATTCGATTGTTCTCTCTTGTACATTGTACATATCGTTATTGATGTTTCGTTCACCCTTATTAAGCAACACAGCGCACAACATCGCTCGTGATGACCGCAGCAAATAATAAGCGTCCAAATGGCGCTACTAGGACATGACGCAAAAAAACAAAATGGGTCTAGGCGATTCCTTGGTTTTAAGGTTTTAGGGTCATGTCTATCTGTAAACCTTGACGTATTTACTAGCTCCGTTTCCGCTTTCGTCCTACCGAACCACCTCCAGCATCGCTCTTCCATTCGAACCCGTCATAGAACATCTGCTCCACAGTCAGTTCGCGATCGGGCACGTGCGCGAGATGATAACGCAGACGCTCGATGTGTGCGCTCATGCGGGCCTCCCACATAGATTGGTCCCGGATCACTGGCACTCCGATCTTGTTGTGCTTGAAGCAGCTTGGGTATCTGGTCCCGTCCGCAGATGTGAACCCGTCTGGATTGAACCGGAGCTGCACCTGGGGGCGGTTGCCCGCATCCTGGAAGAGCTCCATCAGCCTCTTGTTCTCACACGTAGTGCTCCGGTGCTGATCTTCGTCGTTCTCACAGTGCACCGTATGAGTATACAAGTCCACGAAGATGTCGGGCCTCCTCCCCGAACAGCCCCCTTGGATCCGCTTGTCGAAGGTGATACCCGCATCCTCTGAAAGGACGCCTGCCGCCTCGATGTAATCAGTAAAGTGCTGCTCCTTGACCTTGTAGTTGCGAGACACCTTCTCGCCTGGGAACAAGTGCACGAAACACCGCAGACAGTGTCCTTTGTAGCGCTCATGAACGGCCCTCGTACCGCACCCGTTAACGCACTTCAAGCTGTGTATGTCCAGCATATCATCGGACTTGCATTTGCAACAATGTGTAGCCTTGCCGCCCTCCAGGCCGAACGTAGGCTGCGACCTTCCACAGACGCACTTGGGGCTTTTTACGTCCACCATATCTTCAGACTTGCATTTGCTGCAGTGACTAGCCCTGCCGCCTTTGAGTCCGAAGTTCGGCTGCGAATTCCCACAGGTGCACCTCGCTGCCCTGACATCCGCCATGTCGACAGACCTGCAATTGTTGCAGTGAGTGGCTCTGCCGCCTGCAAGTCCAAACGAAGGCCTCGTCCCACAGGCGCACCTCGGGTGCCTAACGTCCACCATATCGTGGGACTTGCATTTGCTGCAGTGGGTGGCTCTTCCCCCTTCAAGTCCAAAGCTAGGCCGCCCCCTCCCACAGGCGCACATCGGGTCTCTTACATTCAGCATATGGTGGGACTTGCATTTGCTGCAGTGGGTCGCCTTGCCCCCTTCGAGTCCGAAACTAGGCCGCCCTTTCCCACAGGCGCATTTTGAGTGTCTTGCGTCGAGCATATCGTCGGACTTGCATTCGCTGCAATGGGTGGCCCTTCTCCCTTCGACTCCGAACGTAGGTTGCCTCCTCCCACAGGCGCACTTCGGATTCTGTACGTCCACCATACTGTTGGACTTGCATTTGCTACAGTGAGTCGCCTTGCCGCCCTTGGATCCAAAAGTAGATCGCGCCCTACCACAGGCACACTTCTGGCCGACTACTTTCACCATTTTTGTAGATGGAAAGCTCTGAATGGGTTGTCGCCCTGCTTATCTTTCTATGTTTTAAGTGCCCCCCCTTTGCTTTCTTAAGCCACACGACGATTTCAAAAGGGACGGCAAAGTCCCTGGCCTGGCTCCATTGGTCCTTGGAAAGAAATATCTCCAGAGTTCGGAATGGTCGATGCTAGGCGTACATCGGGTCTTTTCATTTCCTTACAACGCAATGTGCGCGCGCAGTGCGCGTCTGCATATGTAAACTTCAGAAAGATTAAGCACCCTGGACGACTCAGCATCTGGCTCTTGGGAGCGGGCAAGTCGAGAGAGCTATTCCATGGCCTCCTGCCCCGCCTCGCCCCCGAAGCCTCCGTCTGTCTGATCGCTCCGAACATCGCACTGGCGCGGAAGTACCACGAAGAGACCAAGAGGAAGGGCCTGGACTACGTCTGCTACCTCGACGAGCCTGGGGGGAAGATCAGCGCACGGCGGGTGGTGGTCTGTGTCAACTCCTTACCGAGAGTGCTGCCGCGCTTCGACATGGTGGTCATGGACGAGGTCAACTTCACGCTGACCAACATGGCGTCCACAGTTATGAAAGACAAGAAGCAGGTAAGAATGAGGTCGGAGGGTCGGACATGTCTCGGGCCCACCCATGACAAGGCATTCGGTACCTTGGTCTTCGAGTGCCCGGCGATCATACTCTGTCGAAAAACGAGCTCTCTTTCGCTTGCAAGGTTTTCATGGCCCTGGAAGGGGTCGTGGCGGGCGCTAAGGCAGCGTTCCTGTGTGATGCCCACCTCAACTGCCCCCGTGTGGTGGAGTGGATCTAGGCCCTGCGGCACACAAGCCGCTTCTACACCATCCGGAACCGTGGCGTCTGGCCCTCGTCGCGAAAGGCCTTCATATTGCCGATGCCCGGGCCGTTGGTGGGAAGAGGGCAGCCAAAAGCCACATACTCTCTCGTGGTCGATGGTATCGTGGACCTCGTCGCAAGCGGGAAGACGGTCATGGTGAGAGAGCTGTCAGAAATTCGCACATTCCCACATGACCTGCCACGGGGCCACCTCTTCCCCATCTTGAGCACACAGGGCCACAGGCCACAGAAAAAATAGCTTCCGAGATACAAGAAGGTTATAAATTTAGGAGAGTTTTTTTTCTTGACTCGTTTCGCTAGTCAGACCTTCGCACACCACCACCACGACGTGCCACGTGGCCACCTGAGCACCCAGGGCCACGGCCACAGAAAAAAAAGCTTCCGAGATACAAGAAGGTTATAGATGATTTAGGAGAGTTATTTTTTCTTGACTCGTTTTGCTAGTCAGATCTTCGCACACAAAAACGACCTGCCACGTGGCCATCTCTTCTCCATCTTGAGCACCCAGGGCCACGGGCCACAGAAAAAATAGCTTCCGAGATACAAGAAGGTTATAAATTTAGGAGAGTTATTTTTTCTTGACTCGTTTTTGCTAGTCAGACCTTTGCACACCACCACCACGACGTGCCACGTGGCCACTTGAGCACCCAGGGCCACGGGCCACAGAAAAAAAAGCTTCCGAGATACAAGAATGTTATAGATTTAGGAGAGTTTTTTTTTTCTTGACTCGGTTTTGCTAGTGAGCTTTGCCAGCTGGTTGGTGTGTGCTGCACGTTAAGGATGGTTGTCAGATGACGAAGCTTTTCGAGCGACGCAGATACCCGCCACGAGTAAGACGTTCGTGGAGCTCCTGGAGGTGGAGTTCAAGGCCCGACTCCCGGGGAAGAATCTCATCGCCTTCCACGGAGCTAAGAGAGAGGGGGCCGACAAGAGACTGCTGCAGCATGCGATTTCCAACCCGAACGATGCGCTTATCGCCGATTGCCTCGCATTCACGCCCACCATAGGCCCCGGTGTTTCTATCGAGAAGAAGGGGAGCTACGATTTGGTAATCGGGGTGGCGGTCAACTCCGACAACCACCCCGACGCCCAGGTGCTGATGCAGCAGATTCAGAGAGCTCGCGATGCCGGCGACATCCGGATTTACTACGGCGAGATCCAGAGCCGTCGGAAGGTCGCCTACCCTACCACCAAGGAAGAGGTGTTCCAGATGCTAGAGAACAGCGATCTGCAGCTCGCAGACTTGATGCAAGGGGTCTCCGTGGACCATCTGGACATGCTGCGGGCTGCCCCCGGAGAGCGTGCTATCTATGACAGGAGCTCTGCAACGTGCAATCTGTACGCCAACAACCTGCTGGGCCGTCTACAGAGCCGGCAGTACTACATTCATCTCTTGACAGAAGACCTTCGGCGACAGGGGGTGACTGTGGTCAACCAGTTGAACGTTCGAACATGGGGAGGGGATGCAGAAGTTGAGCTGGTGGCGAAAGAGGAGCTCGTCGACGAAACGATCGAGCAGTGGCGCGAGAGACACCTCGTCTCGTGGGAGCAATTTGAGCGGATAAGGGGAATGATGAGCTCTCCGTCCGGGGGCGTAAGCAGACAGGACGTCCTGAGGTATGAGATATTCGATGCAGCCGTTTTCTGCTACGGGATTCAGTATGAAAAGGTCGACCCCGAGTTCGTGGCTGAGTTCGTCCAGGGAAAGCACGCGAAGGACCTCATGACGAAATTCAAGAGCTACGAGAGGTAAGACTCCGTCCTCCCTCTGTGCACTTTCTGGTTTCTCCGGGGCTTTCTCGGCATGGTTTTACAACCTCTCGCGCTTGCATCGCATCTTTGAATTTCTGCGTGTGTGCAATGTACTATGAGGCAGAAGTCAGACTGATGATGACGAGGGTTTGTCTTACAGGTTCGTGACTTCAACGTATGCCTCTACCATCGGGACCCTCAGCGCGGCTATCGAGGAGGGGGAGCAGAAGCGGAACATCCAAGAGTACCTTGAAGTCAGGGATAGGTCGGCAAACGGGATCACGTATGCCTGGTGCGTGTTGGCAGCCTTAGTGGGTATACCTGCTGAGAAGGTTGAGAACACGGTGTTCGGGAGCTACAAGATTGTGGATGGACGGTTGGGGGAGGAGATGCTGTCCGCGGTCTTTGACATGGACGACTTTAACATGTCTGCTTCGCTCGAAACCCTCGAGAGGTTATTCAAGCCGCGGACGTCGTTCGCTGGGAAGGAACTGACGATCACACGGAGGAGGAACGTGATCAAGATGGTCTTGGAGGGAGGCTTAGGTCTGACGATACGGTTGGCACACTTTTCAAACGGGTGTCGTCGGGGATTTCACCGGATAGTCCCCATACAGAAGTGGAGGGCCCTGGATGAACGGTACGGAGGGCTGAAGGACAAACTGGTCGAGAAAAAGAGCAAGCCTTGTCTCGTGGAAATCGATGAGTAGACGGGTCGATGATAGACGGGGCGACATGCAGGATGATCATACGTAGTTGATATGAATTTTAATGAGGGAAGTGTGTACATATGTTATCTTCTGCGAGGTCAAGTGTACATGAATCGGTCACCAGCGGCGAGGGGAGCTCTCCCACCCGCTGATGGATAGAAGGAAGTGCAAGTTGAGCTGTATCATATATGTAGACGAGTGACTGGACGGCCGATGATGTGACCGAGGCTGCCAATTCATGCAAGATTGTTGCTTGACGGGTATTCGGCGTATTGATGAAAAATGCATGACCACAACGTAAATTCCCGACACGAAGGTGGGTGCTTGATGTTAAGTACTGTGGGAACGGTCCTCAGCACTTGAGTGCGCTCATTTTCCACCGGAGTTGACGACTCTCTATCATTTTGTTGGGCTCGGCCGACAAAGTAAAAGTGCGTCCTCCATGCGGAGCTCAATGTCGTTGCCAAAGCAGTTTGGGCGTCTCAATGCACGGTGCGACGTGCCTTGAAATCACTATTCTAAATCTGATTAAATCACTGATTTAGTGATTTAAACTAATCATGATCATCCCATTAGGGGGCCCGGAAACTGTGCATCATACGGATGGGTGTAGGTGCTATACGTGAGCAGAAGAATGGTGCTTGCCCAAAAATCGTGTTGAGGATCAAGCATTGTTCTCTTGGTAGAATCTACATCGAAGCACAGATCTTGTTGGGCCGGGAATTTGTGAGGGACATGGGGGTCCCAGTATTGTGTGAGGAGGAAGAACATCAGACAATCTGACCAGTCTCTCCCCGGGATAGAGTGCAAGGGTGCAACTCAGATGACGCTCGCGTGAGCAAATGAAGTCAGACTTCTCGCCTCTCCGACTATTAAGGCTTGAAAACGGTTTCTTATTGCATTGCGTTCTGGGAATTGTTCAAACGAAACCAAATACTCCTTCTTTGTATTTTCACTTTCTTGTTGACAGCTGAGCTGGGGTTATATGCCTTGAATGTTCAAGCAACTTTGTGATGTCTAGTACTACAAATAGTATCTTAGGCCGAGGCACAATCCTTGAGACATTACCCTAAGCAAAGCACTGTTACAGTGTGATATGACAGTCTGTGCACTGTAGATTCCAACATTGTTATGAAGTAATGTGAAGAAGGAGAGTTGATGGAACTTGCACATCAAGCTTGCTGGGCACATCAGGACGACAATATCAAGTTCCACATGTGTCTGCTTTCATGCGTCTATATTCTGTCATTTGTATCATTCATGACATTTCCTTCTGCTTTTCAGAGTTGTTAGTCTGTGTCCTGTGCGTGTAATGTCATCATAGTATTGTTTCCTTAGCACCCCAAAGCAGAACCTTCAAACCTCAAGATTGCTTCTGATGGGATCTGTACCATCAATCTGATCAATTATCCAAGTAGAGAATGAATGCATTAGCTCTCGATCTGGATTGCCTGTCAGCCAGTACTTTGCTACAATACCCATAAGATACTTGCATGTGAAGTGAGGACCTCTCATAGCTCCCTCCCGTCCTCTGGTTGCTTCTTTGAAGACGATATCCAAGGGAATGATGAGCTGATAATAAATGCGAGCCCGAACCAACCATACCCCTTGATTACTTCTCCAGAATTCCGCTCCAAGATTCAGATTTTTGATTCTCTCCCAAAACAATTTTAGATGCTCTCTATTTGAAGCCACCTCCCTTATTTGTGCTTTATCAATCTCACTTTTTGATATATGCATGTTGCGATACTTTTCCATAACTTTGACCATGTCTTTGACTGTTCCTTGGCCGAAATTTACTTGCGCACCTTGATCCACTGCAAATCTTGCCAGATCGCCTGCCGCAGGGCTACATTTGCTATAACTGTCCATTATGTCTGACATCAGCTCCTTTCTTTCTTTCTTCCTGCTGAAATAGAATGAAATAGCAAATAATGTGACGGTCAGGATTGCGTTGCAAATCCCCAGCAGCAATGCTGCAGACCAGGCCATGCTGCCTACAATGAGACAGCCGCAACGTATCAAAACTACTCCTCTTTACGCCCGGTGTGCCTACTTCGCCAAGTTTTGTGCACTCGGTGGATACAAGATGGGAAGCTTCCGGCCTCAAATGAGCCCCACCCTTTGAATTCTAAACCCCCACCCACGCGCACTCGCGCCGAGTTATCAAAGCAGCACCATGCGCGCACCGGATTCCGCCGCACGTCCGGCGAAAGCGAATAAGTGAGGCAAGTCCACATAGCATTCGCTGCCACAATTTAAGCCGCACTCCCAGAACAGCTAGGGGGAACAAAATACTTGTCTAATATACCCGTCTTCTACTCGAGGCAGCTGCTTTGATCTCCACCAATGGCGATGGAACTTCAGGATATAATTCTCTTAAATGCAGGAGTCGATCTCTATGATGCAACTTCACTCAGAAGACAATATAAGCTGCCAAGGCGTCGTGGCCTTACGTGCTCTCCTGTAAATGCCGATTCCATCTGCTCCTTTGTAGTTTCTTGACACATTATGTAGTTTCTGGACACTTTCTAAGCATCATTCAGAGCCAATTTAACATGTCATTCTGCATTCATGGCTCTAGCGTAAAGAACCACATTTATGCGTTACGAACAATCAACCTGGCAGGCTGCCCTGATGCTCACTATGGGTCACTCTTCTGCCTGTCCACCTGTCAACATCAGCTCACGTGTATCTAGCAGGGCGCCATAAAAATGCTTCTGATGTAACACATTTGATGCTACCAAAACCAACCAGCGCCATTGGTAGCCTCAGGTGACGTCCCCCTCCCATTTCTTTTGGCAACTCTGTCATCTCCCCAATACAAAACCAAAACAAGAGTTGAGAGAGTATGTCTCACGCGTTTCGGGAAACCTGAGGACGTGTGATAACGCCATCATCCTTTTATACCCACCTTACAGTCTTGGTTCTGTCGACATTACATACGAAAAAGTAGTGGCAGCCAATTTCAAGCTCGCTGATATTTAGGTCATATAATCTAGAAGCACCTGATTGGAGCTCTTGCCCCCAGTGTTTTCACATATCCTGAAACCCGTTTCGCCAGGTGCCCGTGTCCGACAGAGCCTCCGCTGGCACCCCATCTTCAGGCGCGCGCGACGGCAGCGGCACTGCTGTTGGACCTTGAAGCTGCAGCACCCGAAAGAGGCACTGTTCGCAGGTAGGGTCTACAATAGCTCGAACTAATGAGCGAGATCGCAAACAAGAACGTGCGACACCGTCCATCCCGATTCGCTATCCCTCCATGCCGCCCGGGATTCGGGCCGCCTCCGAGAACGACACGGAACAATTTCGCTTCCGAGTTCTATGAAAGTGTATATACTAGAGTTTGTTTTTTTCCCGCTGGTCGATTCGCGTATGAGAGCTAGGCGGGGGCAAGCAGCCGCTGATCTCGTGACACGTGTCCCCACAGACCGCCTGGAATCTCCGGGTATGCTCCCGTCCTGCCACGTGTATCGCTTTCATCGGTCGCCCTCCCTTCAGAGTCGGGCCTCCGACGGCGCTCCATCTTCTGACGACCCGGGCGACAGCATCGAGCTCAACATTCAATAACAATAACAATAACAATAACAAATTCAGGAGGAGCGGTCCAGCGAGAGCCAGACCAGCGGCTCTCTGGCAGACCTCAGAGACGATGTCGGCACCCCCCGGGAAGGTGCGGCGTTCTACCCGGCCATCGACAACGAGCATGCAGCAGCACTGGAAGATCACAATCTGCAACAGGTCGGCATCTATATTCCTTCTGCAGACCGTTGTTCCAACCTCCGCATGCGGGCCAATCCTCCAAAATATGACCGTGACATTACGGATTGCCTCCTCAAAAAAGTGGACAGGACTGACTCGTGCCGCCAGATCCAACCGGCGGACAAGTCCTCGGCCCCCAGGGCCAACCGTCCACATTCTGACTGTGACATTACGGATTGGCTCATCCAAAATGTGGACAGTACTGGCTCGTGCCCCCAGGGCCAACCGTCCACAATCTGACTGTGACATTACGGATTGCCACCTCCAAAATGTGGACAGGACTGGCTCGTGCCCCCCGGGCCAACCGTCCACATTCTGACACTGACATTACGGATTGCCTG